TAGTGTGAGTCCTCCAACTTTATTCTTCTTCTTCAGTAGTGCTTTACTTATTCGGGGCTTCTTCCCTTTCCATATAAAGTTAATGACTAGTTTTTCCACCTCTTTGAAGACAGTTGTTGGTTATTTGGATCGGGATTGCACTGTATTTGTAAATTGCTTTGGGTAGAATTGTCATTTTCACAATGTTGAGTCTACCTATCCATGAGTAAACTTGTGACTCTTTTTATGACCCAGAAAGTAGTCTATCTTGGTAAATTTTCCATGTGTACTTGAAAAGAGTGTTTATTCTGATGTTATTTGGTACCCATAACCCACTGAGGTCAAGTCGATTCCGACTCATAGTGACCCTATAGGACAGAGTAGAACTGCTCTACAGGGTTTCCAGGGAGCAGCTGGTGGATTCTAACTACCAAGCTTTGGTTAGCAGCCATAGCTCTTAACCACTGCGCCACTAGGGCTCCGTTATTTGGTGATGGTGTTCTATAAATGTTAGTCAAGTTGGTTATAATGTTTTTCAACTCTTCTATATCCTGACTGATTTTATGTCTACTTGTTCTATCAATTATTAAGAGGGGTATATTTAAATCTTAGAGTATAATTGCAGATTTATTTCTCCTCACAGTTTTATCAGTGTTTGCTTTGTATGTTTTGAAACTGTTTAGAGGTGAAAAAACATTTAAAATTTCTTCTTGATTAAATGATCCCTTTATCGTTATAGGGTTGCTATCAGTCGGATTCGACCGGACGACAATGGGTTTAATTTCGGGTTTTGGTTATTGTTATTAACTGGTCTTTTTTATTTGTGGTAATATTTTTTCTCTGAAATCTACTTTGTGTGATATTAACAGCAACTCTAGCTTTCTTTTTATTAGTGTTAGTATGGTATATCTTTTTCCATTCTTTTACTTTTAACCTATTTGTGTCTTTGTAACTAAAGTGAGTTTCTTGTAGACAGCATATAGTTGGATCTGGGCTTACCGCTTCGGATTCTCATATTCTTCTTGGTTTGGGCCTCACAGTTCCTTATTCCTATATTGTTAACTCTTACATAGTTTTAAGAAGTTTCTTCTCTGTTGTTTGTCCATTTAAAAGAATTTCCTGAGTAGGTTTGACCTGAATTCCTTAGCCCTCTATTCAAGTTCTACCATTAATTAGTCAAAACATATTTATCAAGCACATACTATGTGACAGACATTCTTCTCGGAACTGGGAATATAGTGGCAATTAAGCCAAAGTCTCTCCCCTCAAGAGGCTCACATTCTAATGGGAAAAAGTATTCATTTTTCTACATAAGCTGATTTGGAAGTAATGATAGTAAAATGTATAATCTTTAAGCAAATGTCAGCCCCTGCCTTCTGAGAGCTTCCTTTGTGAGCTTTAGCCTCACACAATGAACTTTTTTTGTCCCAGGCAGAACTGGAGGACCATACATCGGTTTGTACAAAATATCTGAGGTAGAAGCTAAGAAGAATGAGATGAGGCAGTGTGGATTGACTAACATTTGAGGGATAATTGAATTCACCACATAACAAACATAGACTGGGAAAGTGACATTGAGGTATCTGTGTCAATGTCTTTTTTTATGCCCCAAAACATTCAGGAAACAGCCCCAAGAGTGAAAAAGAGTCCTGCAAAGCCCTTAGACTCTGACTATCCTACAGCTTGGATCAAGAGAATCCTCAGACACTCAGGCTTCCTCTGTTTCACAGCAGTCCCCAAGAGGGGTCCTAAAACAATCACTGTCTCCCAAGAGGGAC